CGGCGGCGACTTCGCGGCCGTTGGATTGCCATTTGCTGGATTTTCCCGGAGCTCCGACCACTGTAAAAATAGTGCTAGCATTGTGGCAGTGGTATTATCCACAGAAATAGAATAGAAGTAGAAGGCTCATACCCAGGCGCGCATCGTCGCCAGTTTCTGATAACTGTCACGTGACCAGCGCCATATTGGTGCAGTCAGCCTGCTTAGGGATTGTCTATATTCAAGCCGGTAAGGGAGATGACGGTACGCATATATTTGCTAATATTTTGACTAATCGCGCGTCAATAAACTCAATATTTACAGAGAGTATAGCTAAGACATGTGTCTATAGATATCTATAATGCATAATATAAATAATCTCCCGTACCGGCTTGAATAAAGAAAATATGATAAGAAAGTAGTAGTTGAATGCCAAAGTACCCGGCGATGACTGTTAGTTTTAATTACAGAAAAACATGCATGGATGCGTTTTCCTATAGATTTTAAACACTGCTTTCTTACAGAGGTAAAATTAAAATTGACAACTGCTACTGAATAGATTGTTGCACATGCTGCTACTGAAATAAAATTTGCACTTAACTATCCACAATGGCAAGAAAATAAGACAAGATTTTATGTAGCTAGGTTCGCACTTCAGCTTCCCCAGGCCCAACTAGGAAAAAATTTAATTATGCTTCTAAGATGAATACAATACGTTGTACGGCGAAGAAAAGGTCATTTGTGTACAATTCCATTCAATCACAATATTTTAACGGCTTGTAACTGTGCGCAACTTAGGTTCCTTATTCTATTATTTGGTATTTCAAAACATAGGCACAATCAGATCTTTTTTATTGCGGGCAAATATATATACTGTATATAGCAAAAATTACAAATCAAACAATTCAAAGTTTTCTAAGCTGCACTTATACTTCTAACTAATTGAATTGCTAGTCAAAGATAATACATGTATATCGATCATTTACATAGCAAAATGGATAATTAAATACATACACACAAACAACGGAATACAAAAAAAATAGTTCGTACGTGACACACCTTATACAGGTACAACACCGATTTTCCGGACACTGATGCTCCAGAACCTCTTTTAATCCGGATAAAATTCATTTGAAATTATTTGGCGTAGCAGTGTACGTCGCCGTGTCGCCACATCGCCGTGTCGCCACATTGCCGTGTTGCCATGTGGGCGCATCGCCACATTGCCGTGTCGCCACATTGCCGTGTTGCCACATCGCTGTGTCGCCATGTGGACGCGTCACTATGAGGGCGCCTCGCTATGTGAGTGCGTCGCCGCGTCGCCATGTGGGCGCGTCGTGTGTCGCTATGTAGGTGCGTCGCCATGTGGGCGCATCGCCATGTGGGCGCATCGCCGTGTGAGTGCATCGCCACATCGCCGTGTCACCATGTGGGCGCGTCGCCGTGTCACCATGTGGGCGCATTGCCACGTAGGCGTGTCACCATGTGGGCGCGTTGCCACGTAGCCGTGTCGCCATGTAAGCGCGTCGCCGTATCACCATGTGCCTTCATTTCTTTCTATGAACTGTCTGTGACATGACTATTTACAGGGGGTTATTTTTAGGTCGGGTTTATTGTGAATGTGAATATGTGTCATATGCGAATGTGTCATTTATTAAATATGTTGTGTTGACCACCGTGGAGATGTGGGCAACAGCAAAACTCTTTCTTGGAATTGTGAAAAAAGCTGCAAAAGGGTTGTAACCTCTGCTTTGCCATTCAATTACATATTAATTTAACCCATGCATCATATCATGCATGTATCATGCAGGCAGTGAAAAAAATACACAGGGGCTCGGGGCGATTTAGCCCCCGAAATGCCAAAAAGAGCCCCGGAAATGCCAAAAAGAGCCCCCGGAAATTTGCATAGAGTTCAATGCAAACCAAATTTTAGAGTGCTATTTTCATGCATGCAAGCTTGAAAAGTAGTCCCCGAAAAATAATTTTTTTCCCTGCATGCAGGTATCTGCGCGACTATTATATTTGTCAATTCACCCCCTTAAATCCGCCACTGATGTAATGTCCGCGGGTGGGCTGCAGCCAGTGGTTCACTGTAGAAACCTCTGGTGTCATAGTAGTTTTCCTCGCCTGAGTCTAGAATTTGTCAACGGCGAGTCGGCTGCCCAAGAATGCTCTGATGAATCGAAGGCAAATCTCATATACGTATATGAGAAGGCTGAATGCATGTGGTATGTAGACAAGGCTGAATATAGAGACCGGTACAACAGGCAGAAAGCAATAAAAGAAATTGTGAGTGCGCTTGAATGGCCGAGTGCAGCGATGTATATGGTGTACATGTACATGTATATATATATGGTGTCTGGCATCTGCGCTGATGTCTTTGATGACAGATAGATTTGTTCTCATACATATTCTGATTTCTGCAACATAAATAGACAGAACTGTCAGATGCCTTTTAATAGGCTTCACAAAACTCTCGCACGCGCTATGCCTGGCGCGAATTTATACATGCAATAATGCCTATAGATNTTTAATAACCTCTTGCTTTGCCATTCAATTTAATATTAATTTTAACATTGCATCATATCTGAATGTATCGATGCGAGTATCTGCGCGACTATTATATTTGTCAATCCCCTCCTAAATCGCCACTGATGTAATGTCGGCGGTTGGCTGCAGCCGTGGTTTACTGTTGGAACCTCTGGCTGCCATAGTAGTGTTTTTCTCTCCAAGAATGCTCTGATGAATCGTAGGCAAATCTCCTCATATACGTATATGAGAAGTCTGAATGCATGTGGTATGTAGACAAGGCTGAATATAGAGACCGGGACAAGAGGCAGAAAGCAATAAAAGAAATTGTGAGTGCGCTTGAATGGCCGAGTGCAGCGATGTATATGGTGTACATGGACATGTATATGGTGTCTGGAATCTGCGCTGATGTCCTTGATGACAGATAGATTTGTTCTCATACGTATTCTGATTTCTGCAACATAAATAGACAGAACTGTCAGATGCCTTTTAATAGGCTTCACAAAACTCTCACACGTGCTATGCCTGGCGCGAATTTATACATGTATGCAATAATGCCTATAGATATCCATCGCTCCACACGTACGCTCGCGGTCGAGTCTGACTGCTCGCTCGAGTTGCCAACTCGCAGTCGTCAGTGTAAATGCGCTGCACAGTTCATAGATCGGTTGATAGCGCGTTGGGAAGTTGGTATAATTCGGCAATTCGCCAACTCAAAGTTGGCAGTGTAAACCCAGCTTTACATGATGTTTGGAAGGAAGTAAAAAAATTTAAATCAGGGAAATATTAATTCTAGTGCTTATAACTGACAGAAGCTAGCATTAGTGTAACTCCGAGAAACCGCCCGTGCAGTTTTAGCACTTCCATATAGATCAAAACCTTATAGGTTGATCCTCACGACGAATCACTTAATTTAGACACTTTTCACTTTGAATAATTTGTCTTACATGATCTGATATTGCTAATGCCTAATGGTGAATACTTCAATATTAAATTTAGTGACAGATGACTTATGTGCAGGTAAACTGTCTTAGTCTCTGTAACATTAATCTAGACGTACATCATTATCTCAGCAGAGATAATAGGCCTAGTTATTAATAATAGTAACCCGACTGAGAGGTGAACAGTAAAACAATTCAGTGGCAATGTTTGTTAACTAGATCTAGATCTATACACTCATTTTCACTACAGTGATTTCAGTGTATTGGACCACATAACACTGTCACATACATTCGGCAAATGTCTGCAATGATTAATAACCTACTGACACTGTACTTGGCTGGCTGACTAACGTGAATATACATCATTGTCAACAATATACAATAACGTCGGTATTCTAACCCTAGCAATACCGTTTCTTGGAGCTACTGTACTTGTACTGTAGTTGTACAGTACAGTGTCAGTAGGGATAATAGGGATAATATTAAGCGGCGATTTTTTTAGTCTTAGTACGTCACATTATCTTTTACAAAACATTATAGAAAAATACCTGTGTAACGTCTTTCCATATCCTTTCTCTATCCGATTGCAACAGTTGATGGCCACGCAACATGTAGGCATTTTAAAGCATTTGTCCTCAAGCTTTACTACCGATGCGCTAAGCAGGCTGACTGCACCAATATGGCGCTGGTCACGTGACAGTTGTCAGAAACTGGCGACGCTGCGCCCAATGCTGTGCGGCTGTGTACGAGCGTTCTACTTCTATTCTATTTCTGTGGTTCGGGCCCCTCGCGTGTGCATGCATTCGTGATACCGTCTGCCGTATGTGTTGTGCCAGAGCCAGATTCTTCAATTCTATTCTATTCTATTTCTATGGCGCGTGTGCGTGTGCGCGCGCGCGAGCGTGAGTGTGTGTATGTGTGTGCGCGCACGCGCGCGCGCGTGTGCGTGCGTGCGTGCGCGTGCATGTACGCGTGTGTATGTGCGCGCGTATTATATATATATATATATATATATATTATATATATAATATAATATACTGTATATGGTATACAACGTCAGGCGAGGCGTGAATAAAAACAAAAGTGGAAAATACGTTTTTATTTATTAATTAATTGTATCGTATTTATTGGATATCATATATACGTGTATAGTCAGAGCGTGTGTATAGTCATAGTTGATATACATGCTTTGATATATTCACGCAGATACCGAGCATGATGATACCGATATGGTCACTTGACTCACTTCGATTCACGCCTGTGTCCACAACGATGACGATGAAACGGAAAAGAGAAGTGACAAAACAAGTGAACAGCATGCCAAATCATGGTGGAGAAAACAAACACCCACCTTTCATTGAGATAACAGACTGGGCATAATTTAATCTTAGTCAAAACGTGCTTACATTTTTCGACAAGTTACAAATATTCACAAGTATTGCTGCGGTGTATAATTGGTAATTTCGATAGTAGTACTCTTCATACTATTACTGTTACTACTCGGAGTCAGTAACTGCCTGGCTGGCGCAGTACTGTACTACTGATCGAGCCACTGTCACTTACTCAGACTGACTCACTGAGTACTGACTCAGTGATAACAATTAACAATATTCAATAACATGCATCTAAAACACTAACAGTCTAAAACAGAGGAATTGCTCCGACCTGTGATTGGAGGATAAAAACAGAATTTGTGACGTTTCGTTTTCATTTTAGCATTTAGCCTATGAGTATGATTATGAGTATGAGCACAGGCCCTTGGAGGCTCAAGTTTCGAAAAATTATAAGTCTATATTAAGAGCGAAGCTCTGCGTTAAGTACCTTCCGCTTCGCTCTTAATATAGACTTATAATTTTTCGAAACTTGAGCCTCCAAGGGCCTGTGGTATGAGTGATAGGCCTACTGCCCTGGGCGTACATATTTGCCAATTAATTAATTAAGCTAATCGTCCTTCAATAAACTCAAGACTCACATTCACAGGGATCAAGACATTAATAGCTAGAATTTATAGAAATGTAACTCAAATCGTTCGCGCCATATGATAGTTAGTACACTTTCCTACTAGCCGCGCGTGTAGCCGGCTGCACACAATAACTGAATAAGCGTCAGTATGCGCGATACTGCGCGTGCATATTTGCTAATTAAATAGACTAATTGTGCTTCAATAAACTCAAAATTCACAGAGATTAAAGCTAAGACATGTGTCTATAATAGCTAGAATTTATAGAAATGTAACAAATTGTTTGCGCCATATGATAGTTTTTCCTAATTCTATTTTTATCCTCCAATTACAGGTCTGAGCAATTCCTCTGTTTAGACGCATGTCAGTGATAGAGGGGTGTCAATTTCCCCCGTGCGTAGAGGGAGGGTGCTGCTACGTGGCAGCACTAGTCACTTCGTACCTCTCGCCGTGTGAATAATATTATAATATTAATAGATTATAGATTTTTAATTAATTAATAATTATAGATATCTATTATTATTCACTCCTGGTGTTGTCATAGTGCAAGTACATCAGTACATGTCTCCCGGCATAAGGTCCAAGAAACGGTGTCTAATACCGATGTTAGTCTCATTGCTGGTTCTTCCTGGTCGAGCTGGCTTTAGTTAGAAGTTTAGGAACCTAATAAAATTGTATTACGGTTTAGTACAGTGGCAGTTACTTGTTACCTGTAGCTGGGCTTGCCAGTGAATTACATCACAGGGAACTATGTATGATAATACTCGTATGATTTCATACGCGGGTGATATTCTGTTAAATTCTTACATTCTGAAATAACCAATTTATATCCAAATCCAGAACTACCTCGATTAGTTTCTAAATTTTATTGCTAGATAACCAGGGAAGGTCATCATTTTTAAAGTGAATTGATAACAAGTGCCGATGGATATCGATGTAATCGGCATATTAATATTATAATTTTATTCACACGGCGATGCTATATCTTGAGCGAGAGTTACGAAGTCACTAGTGCTGCCACATAGTGGCACCTTCCCTCTACGCCTGGGGGAAATTGTCTCCCGTGATAGAGCTCTCTAAGAAACGGTCTTGCTAGGGTTAGAAGACAATCAGACAATACTGATTGTATAGACAATCAGTCGCACAGCCTCGTCGGGCTAACTCAGTGACTGAGAATACAGTAACTTTAAGGGCTAGTAACTCGGTAACTTAGAACTTACACTTATAATATTATAACTTGTATGGCCCTAGGTTATACTTTATAATAATATATATATATATATATTATATATATATATTATAAGTATTATTATTAAATAGACCAATCCTGCTGAATTCCTATGTTCCCATGTTAAGATATAAGATATATAAGATAATATTGAGGATATTGATATTGAGTAAATTATATTATAACTAGCTAGAATTAGAAATTTCTATAATCTGACGCTATTCCATGATCCGAGAAAAGCATCAGATTATCCAAATTTCTAGGGCACCATATTTATTGATCTATATAAGTTAGTGACTTGATGCTATAGTTTTGCAGACTGATCGTGCAAGGGTAGAGCTCTCTACTAGCCTCTAGCCCAACCATGCTGAGAGTCTAACGTCAAAACACATACAATAACATCATTCGATATATGGCCGTTTGAAATAGAAGTGATTACTTGTGCATTATATCTCCCCCACACACCCCCTACATTAAGAGATAGCCGGCTGCAGTGGCTAGTCCACCATTTGAAACGATGGGAAGCTGTTACTACGTCCTATAATGTGCTATTGGATAGCGGTGGCGTATGCGGGGGGAATCTATAATCCTTGTTGTGAAGGGATAATTACAGGGGTAGAAATTAACTTTTGAACACGGGAATCCAACCGACTCCCTACCCTCAAAAAGAGGGAGTCCGCAGCAAAATGAGGGAGTCCGCAGCAAAATGAGGGAGTCCGCAGCAAAATGAGGGAGTCCGCAGTCTGAGGTTCAAAATTAAAGATGTTAACAATAACGCATTTGTGCTTATTTTTACGGTTCATGCGGTTGCACGTTTGCCAAAATTTTCTTTGGACATTAGCTAAAAAATACGGTAATTCCGCAAGGCCGCGCTCTGGAACGAACTATAGTTAGTATGGCAGAATTTTCAGGGAGTCACACGGACTCGGACTCCTGCATATGTCAAATCAAGGAGTCCGACAGTAAATCAGGGAGTATTTGACTCCGGACTACCGTTAATTTCGCACCCTGTAATTAATAGTCAATACAACTAAGCAGTACATTGGTATTTGTTTGTCATGCTATCAACATTAAGTATTTCAAGCAAGTGTTGTTGTGTGTATTGTCTATCTTATGTTACAATAGAGGTTTTATGTTCCTTCTCTAACCACGTAAGTGCCACTGTGTATACAATCTAAATTCTCATTTGTAGTTTAGTTCTACAACAGTTTGAAAAGCTCGGCATACTGTTGTCTGACATCTAACAACATGTCTCATGACTATGGGAGTGCTTTCTCCACCTACCACAGTGAGGCGCCACGCGACACGTCTACAGAGTTCACACGTCTTTCACAAGTGGTTAGCAGTAATATCCAAAAGACACAACAGAATGGTGAATATTATTTGTGTATGAATAATTTACCCTGCAATATCACAGACTTGCATAGTCGTGCAAGACCATTTTTAAACATATTTGCATATGGAATTACTATCACGATATCAGGAGGTCATGTACTTCTGTCATCATATCAGGAGTCTATCAATATATTGATAGACTATATATTGATAGACTCCTGATCATATCATGATGATCATATCATATCATGAGATTAATTGTTTAAAATTTGTTTCCAATAAAGTTGCTCAAATCCAAAGAATGGTCAACCAACTTGGGACCCCGCAGGAGACAGACCAGCTGTGGAGTAAACTGTGAGCAGCTTATTGCATGAATAAATGCTTGTTACTTCAGTACATTCAACACCATATTGGATCATTACAGTGTGTGATCGAGTGCATGCAGTGTAGAATGAAAGGTAGTGTTTGCCTTCAAACTAACAACGTGTGTATGTTTTTATGTATTTTAGCGGACAGATTCAGCATTATACTAATCAGTTAGCGAAAGACACAAGCAAATATCTAAAGGATATATCACGCATTCCTGTAGCTCCCTCCTCGGCGGACCAGGTATAGTGCAGTTAGGTCGTATTTGTGTAGTTGGTGATAATTCCAACATGCTGCAACTACTCTCATGATTGTTAATTTGCTATTTTGATCCTGAAATATAACTCGTATTTGAAACCATGAAGTTGTTTATATATATATCAGGGTTCTCCAAGAGTACTTATAGCCTGGCGGCCCGCCAGGCTATCGTCGAGCCTCGCCATCCTAAAATGCACCCGCCACTCTAAATATCATAGCCGCCATGCTAAATATCATAGCCCCCCGGACCCCCCTAGTACGCAAACCGCCTTCGGCGATTTGCAACTAGGACCGTAAAGGCAGCACCCGCCATGCTATAATGAAAAAGCTTGGAGAATCCTGTATATATATATATATATTTATGTATGCTACATTACAAATGCTAGGCATTCATCCATAAATGGTATATATTGTTTCTTGCGAGATATTCATGACTTCGGGTCAGGTGACTCTGTACTGATTAAGGCTTCCCTATTGTAGAAATTACGGAAGATGCAAGTTGAAAGACTGACTAAGGACTTCTCCGATGCACTTAGTAACTTCCAGGTCGCACAGCAACGCGTGGCAGAGAAGGAAAGGGCAAGCATTGCTAAGGCACGCAGCCAGGCAGGAGGGAAATCTGTGAGTTTTTGTTCATGGTTTATGCTGAGTATAACACTGAAATTCTAGTTTGCTCATTGACAGAGTAAATTGTAGTGACATGTTTGATCAGTTTATGAGAGTACTGTTTTTAGCTCAGCTGACGAAGTCAGATGCAGCTTGTAGAATCGCATGAATGTCCGTGCGTCCATCCGTCCGTCAACAGTTGGGCACAAATCTTAACCGCTCGACGTACGGTCTTGATATATTCGGGAGGTCGGGGGGGGGGGATCGCAAAAGGACTCGGGATGTCGAATTTGGGGGGTCAAGGGTCAAAGGTCAAGATGTGTCAAGATATGTGTGGGAATATTTCCCCCTTAACTTAAGGTATAGGAGGAAATACGGAATTGCGGCACAAATCTCAACGGCTTGACCTACGCTCTTAATATTCGATGTATAATGTGATGGGGAGATAACCCATCACCAGCACGAAATTGGAGGTCACAGGTCAAAGGGCAGTGGGGGAAAGGTCAGATATCAGACATTTTCTGAGGACATGGTCTAATGGACCGAGTGCAAAACTTTTTTGTTTCAGCGCTGACCTACCATTTTTATCACTTTATTAAAAGGATCATGAAATCTACTTTCCGCTGACGTGCGCAGAGTAAGTGTCTCATAACCTTTTGACCCTCAAGAGGAGGGTTAAACATGGATTTGTTGACTATTAACAAAGTACTGAACTGCTTTTGCTATTAGAGCCCCTTCCCCCCCACCACCACCACTACGCTCGCGCTCGACGCATATCCATGATAACATGTTAATACACAGCTGTATCTTTATTACTGTACTACCAGTATGTATAGCAAAGCCTATCATAGATTTTAGATCTGTATTAGTAGTATCCTAGATATATGCTCTGAGCGCGAACGCGGTGGCAGGAGGGCGCACTTGATTCGGTTGCCAGTGAGTTTATCAGAAGAATACCTGACTACAGCACACGTCAGTTGAGCGCTGTCGCTCTGCAGCACTTGTCATACAGATTCAAATAAAGGGGTATATTCTAATTTTGCCATAAAATATCATAGTTAACTTGAGAGTCGTGATTATCTACAGATACCGTACTTTGATGAGCGTGCAAGCACACAGAGTGATGACCAGCTCATTAGTCTCAGTACAGGGTAAGCCACTATTTGAGTGCAGAAGCATGGAATATTCTGTACAGGGTATCTCTGTTGTTGGTACTTCACCAATTATGTTCAGTACTTGCATTTCTACATACTATATATTTAAATTTATAAATAATTGAACTTTTTGTAAAATGTGTGGTCCTTTATCTAATCTACACTAATAATATGCTGTTTATATTTGTCTGGCAAAAGTGTCGACAGTGGTGGGATCCAGGGTTGTAGCCAAGACAATTTTAGTGCTGGCTAATATCAGTGATTGCGTCATATGCATAAATTATTATAATAGCAACATGGTGCTTAGACCGCTATACTGCATGTACTGTGCGCTGTACGATGTGATCAGATGATGATATTACGCATAATTATTGTTGAGATTAAACTCAGAGTTATTTTTTAAATTAATTCTAAGTGTATCAGTTGTGATTATTTGTAGGTTGCTCAATATTTTGAAGGTAATTTTACGCAAACTCAATCATTTTTGTGCCGGTCGGAAGGATGGTATTTAAAGCTGCGTGCAGGTCGGCCAACACCAGTCGGCTATTACCAACCGGCGGCGGCCGGCGTAGCTACATCGGTGGTGGGATCTAATAGACGTTGAATATTTTATAGGGGCTTCCAGTCGCAGGCTCAAGCACAGCTAGAAGACGTTGATCTTGACCTACTGCAGGAGAGGGAAACAGCTGTCAGGCGATTAGAGGTATACTGCTGCCATGTTTATCCTCTATCCGCGGTGTGATTGGTTCCACCGCCATTCGTCCTGAGACCAGATTTTCTCACACGAGTGATGGAAATTTTATTTAATCAAGTGCTGAATGCTAGATGTAATTTCTCTCATCAGTGTGAGATGCACAAACATTGACAGCATCCTTTTTTGCATTTTAGGCTTCCAAGTATAATTATTTCCTAAGTTACAGAGTGAATTTACCGCTGAGAAATATCATACAAGTGTTGATTATAGTAATGGATACTACAGATTCCTTTTGCGGTTGATACACTTTTTCAGGAGGATATACAAGATGTAAACCAGATTTTTAAAGATCTTGGCATGATGGTTCACGAGCAAGGTGAAGTGATTGGTGAGTGACCACTTCAAGAATGATCCAAAATATAACTACTGTCCAGTGTTCGAAATTCACGTCGGCCCGTCGGCCCACCGCCGACAGTTTCGATGCCGGGCCTACAGCTTCTTGATACAACAGGCCCGCTGATCCTACAGCTATTTGATCACCGAAAATTCAAACACTAGAGAAACTGTTACCTGTAGAAATCTGTTCATGCATATTAACTTCCAGGGGTATTTATTGAAAACTAATCCGTGATAAACCGTGACATACATGTATACAATGCGTTCGCCCACTGCAATCAACTTTAGTTGGCATCAAGAAACGTGCGTGGGATATTCGGACGCACAGGTTAGCACAGGTTCCTGCCATCAAGTAGCAGCATTGGCATACCAAAAATCGATAAGAAGTGGGTGGAGCTTACTTTTGGCCAGTTGTAGTGAACCCCTACAATTGTTGTTGCCAGGGTTTATTTACGTGCACGGGGTCGTCCAGCACGCTCACTGTTCACGGTGCGCTAGGTTGTGGAGTAATTTTCACATCCCCGCGCATTTCACGTTTGATGTAAACAATAAAGTATCACTGGTCGTTATTACAAACGATCAGTATACTTTTTAAAATAATATTAAGAAGATTTAGATAATATATCATGTTGAATTATACAGTAAATAATAATAATGTCTCAAGTTTTAACACACGTCATAAAATTAAGTCACTGTAGCTGCAAGCACGGCGTATTACTTACTAGTCATGCAAACAGCAGTTTACAGCCTCGTCGCACCACTCGGGTTTAACCGTGTCATATTGTTTTTAACGTTTGGAAAAACTATTACATTTATACAGGGTGTAGCTAAATAAAAGCTTCCCTACGTAAGAGCTTGTATGTCTACAAAATACATTTACTTCGAACAGACGGAATTCCCCAGTGCCCATCAAAATTTTACAGTAGGTAAATTTTACATAATTTTTTCTTTTTCCACCAAAAAGTGTTGCTAGTTGTAAGCTATTGGAGTACCCTGAAATGGCTCTAGATTGCATCTCAGAGCTTGTAATTTTCAAAAATGTTCTGGCCCCCAGACCCCCATAGAAGTGCCCGATGTGTACCAGACTACCAGTCTGTCTCTCTGCTGTCAAAGTGGAAAGTCGTAGTTACCAAGGAGCTACATATAACAACGATGTGGCGTTTCCTTAATTGTGAGTCCCCGGCAAAGAAGCAAAAACAGTCATCCGACGAGAGGAAGGAAAAACAGAGGGATTATGATTATGGACATTGATAATGACTAATAAACATAAGGAAGAACATGATATGCTGTTTTATTACTGCAATTTGCTCCAAAATTGGCGGGCCTGCAGCTTTTAGAAGCTATAGGCCCTGCAGGCCTACAGCTTTTTCTGCTCAGTGGCAAACACTGCTACTGTCCACGAATATTTTTTAGCAATGTTGCTTATCAAATTTGAATTAGTTTGTAGGTTTATGTACGTTATTGTGACTTATTATCAGAGCTTTCTCTCATAGATTCCATAGAAGCCAATGTAGAGACTGCTACTATACATGTTGAGGAAGGTACCAGCTCACTGAGGAAGGCTGCGGAACATCAGGTCTGTAGAACGTTGCACATATTGCCACTAGATTGCAATTTTTATCATGCATGTAATTATGCAACCCTTGTCTGAGTTTGTAATTTATATACCAGATTAGCTTTTGTTTGTAGCTACCACTAGATGATTGCACATGCGCCTGCGTACATGTTGTGTGCATATATATATATATATATATTTATAATCAAGAGCGTATTAAGAAGGAGAGCATACAACGGTGAAATGCTGAAACCATGGTGCAGTATTAGTCGAATTAAAAAACTTTTCCTGTTTTATTTTGACGATTCTTTGCGGTAGTATTGATCAGCTGTCCTACCTTACTAATATAAAACAAACCGCTTGCCCCTACGATGCTCCTACGCTGAGATAATGAGCGGTGAAATCTGGTATTTTTGCCGAAAACCGACTCGAGATCCCTGTTAGCTGCGACCCTCTCTCGTTTTGTGGCCAGTATGTTGCTTCCGGTCGCCGCTGTGTAGCGCCATGGTAGCGCTGACTCATTACGTCAGTACTACAGAGTTTACTACATCCAGCGTTAGGTGGGCAAAGGTGGGGGTCATCACTATGGCAATAAATAACAGACGTCATTCATTCCATTTCTCAATCATTGATGGAAACACGCAAGGTTTCCCGAAGCTATCTCAAAGCGAGAGAGGGTCGCAGCTAACAGGGATCTCGAGTCGGTTTTCGGCAAAAATACCAGATTTCACCGCTCATTATCTCAGCGTAGGAGCATCGTAGGGGCAAGCGGTTTGTTTTATATTAGTAAGGTAGGACAGCTGATCAATACTACTGCAAAGAATCGTCAAAATAAAACATGCAAAGTTTTTTAATTCGACTAATGCTGCACCATGGTTTCAGCATTTCACTCTTGTACGCTCTCCTTCTTAATACGCTCTTGATATAATATAGCTGATCAATGCAGATGTAATATATATGCACGCATCAGTACTTGAGCTTGTATTTTATTGCTTGTAGATGCATGTATAGATGTGTTTTCATTGTTGTAGTAGTGCTAGGGTTCTTCTCCTTCCACGTTTTATTTGGTTTTCTATTTGCAGCTAGGTTAGTTTCGTACTACAACCACGTTGATTTGGTATGTTGGTGAGAAATCATGGTTTACGATTCATGGAACGTACAACCTGACATTGAGCAAAAATCCATGCCTTGCTGTCAAAGCCTGAGAGGAATGCAGCAATTTACTTGCTTCCTTGTGAGTGCTCCCACCTGGTGATAAATCATGTTGAAAATACTTGCATGAGTGCATTGTGCAGCATTGAGTATTGTGATCTGAACATTTTCCACCCATTTTTATTTTAAATGTTTACCAACTCAGCACTGCTTCCTGCTTGTCACCAATAATTTGGTATACTTTCATTTAAAATTAATTGAATGCAGTGATGTCTCCTGTGGTAGCTGTGTGTGATTAATGGATTTCTCTTTGCAGTCAAAGTCGAGGAAAAAGGCCCTGGCTATCCTCCTTGTTACCCTCATCATCATACTCGTGTTGGGACTAATCATGTGGGCAGTTACACGCTAGACAGCACACGAGTGAAAGGTGTGTAGTATAGTTAATGACATCATCCATGGTGAACTTGGTTGGTACTGTTTTCTGTTGAAAGCAAGAACGGAATGATAAGAACTACACAATGCAATGGAATAATAAGAATAAGAGCACTAGTGAGAATGAGCAGTCACTGTAAGTAGCTGTGGTAGTGTTGTAGCAAGAAGTTGTGCTACTGGTATTTTTTATGTATAGAATTGTATGTTATGATCAAGTGAGATCTATGAGTTATAATATAATTTCTGGAGATACTAATCAGCCCTAGATGTTAAAAGTAACATTGAACACTTTTCAGATTGCTCTAGATTCAATGTAGTCCACCACAACGTAATTACAGCTTTTATACAGCTTTAATCTTTATTATAGCAACTATTCAATCTGTTATAAACCTGTGTATTGAATGTATTACACACAATGCACAAGGTTATGCCATACATAGCTTCATGTATTACTGTACTGTGCATTCTGTGCAAAGAGGTGATATTGCCAATCAGGTTCGCTCTTCCTATGGCTTTGTACTTCAATTTGCTTAAATATGAAAAATCACAAACTTAACTTATATGGTGCAAAATAACCAGTGGGGTTCAGGTGAAAGATGCACTTGCACAGTACACATGGCGGAAACCTACATGTATTTACTAGAAGGTATGATGCGATAATTTATGTAATAATTGTGTACAGCTAGCTTTTACATTTCTGTAAGTAGGATTTAAAATGTAATGAATTTGCTTTCGATTAAATTCCACCACTGAGTAGTCACTGTGGGCATTTTTGGTAATGCTCATGTACCAAGTAGACATACGATGTTATCAAGCTACATGCATATACATTATTTATTATAAGTATAAAATAGACACTTGTAAGAATGATCGATAATTTCTCTATACATTAGCGAGAGTATTTTTTCACTTGCCAAAGATGTGCTTGTTTGTTAAGTTTATTTATACATATGTAGTTTTTTCTTTCTGAAATTCTATGAACACAGTATATATTAAATGAATAAGTTCATGTTTTAATGAGAGTGCATGGCAGGACATTCATTAGTCACAAAAATCGATATTTAATTAATTATATGCAGACGTGTACCAGTATCATTATATACAGAAAGCTTAAAAAGTTGTGGAATCAATGAAATGTATTAACAATGAATGCTTCAGATTGACAAAATATTAATTTTACGCAGTCTACTTGAGTGTCTGTTGCTATTTGATCAGTAGGGATCTACATAATGTGTATAACGGAATTGCTCACAAGTTAATAATTGTATAAAGATTATTACAAGTAACAAATTATCTACTAAGTAATTTTAACCTTTTGTGTGGTAGAGAAAATATTTGCTGTAGGTTTTATCATGCTGCATTATTAAATAAACGAATTTTATGTTGGATGTTCAAGAAGCATTGCATTGTGCATGACACTTTGGTATCTAACCAAGAGCATCTGTTAGTTATTTTCCCCAGTATGGAATAACTAGTGTTACTTATTCCTCAACCTTCAACCTTCAACCCTTGTGTTATTTACAATAACATTCATAATTACAAGATGTGAAATTAATTATTGATAAATTTTATAAATTTATTTAAAAATGTATAACATATCTTTTAGAATAATATCATATCATTATATTTGTTCACTATTATACTAATAGTTTATTTTTGTAAAATTCAAAAGATAAATATTGCCACAACATAAATGGTTCATAACCATAAACCACTGGAAAGTTTACACGCTGCTTTATATCACAGATGTTATGCCACTTGACTATTGTCTATTACGTACTAGCATTACTGCGACATACGTTTGCCTTTGCTTGTATTTCCAGCACTATTCTGGCCATTTCTTCGAAGTCTCTGTGGTCAGTGTAAGCTGGTGTTGCAACTCTTACATAGGATTTGCCCTGGCATGAAATCATGATGAGTTGTAACTTATATTCAAAGAAAATGTGCTCCTGGAGTTTCAAGTCGCTCTCCGTCTTGTCCATTAATAGACTAGTATCACCCAACTGCATATACAAATAATCCCAACGAGCATCATTTTGTGCAAGCACCCTACACAGACGTCCTAGTTTGGAAGAAATCGGATCCAAAACAACATTTAAATGAATGAGGATATATTCATTTACTTTGTAATATAATGAAATGAAAATTGTTGGCATAAATTCATTATGCAAACACCTGGATATACTCACGTCAGCTCTGTGATAACCTTCAATGAATGGTACTCTGACGAGACGCAGACATGGTGCTTCTAGTTCTCTAGGTATAGGAAGCTTCTCAGTATGCCAAGCTTTAACCAACAGGTCAACAACATCATCTGCTAAAGGTCTGCAGTAATTCCTCACCGTCTCCTAAAGCACAGAGAAACATGCCTGGCAGCAACATCTAAATAGAATAAAATAACATAACAGCGCCTTGATTTTAGAACCCAAGAGTGAAGATCTCGGAGATAGCTAGAGAACATAATTATTAATAACACACCCAGCCACCAATTTCCTGGTAGAATCGGATAGCTGCTGGCACAGAAAAATACGGCGTCTGATCGCGTGTTCCCTCCTTTTGGAACTCTGCGTGCATGTCGCTTCCTGCATAGTCCCAGCTGGTGATAGCTGGATGCACATTGCCCTGGTGTCTCGGGCTGATATATAGAAACCCACATCCTCGTGGGGCAAACAACCACTTGTGCATGGAGGCTGGGTATAGAAAACGTTAATATTTGGATTTGAATCCTGACAAATAAATTTATCTATCAAAGAACAAGCCTCACGGCTAACTCAAAAGCATTTGAAAAAAAAATGCATTTGACATCCGCTATGAATCTAAATGGTACATAGACGTACTTGGTAAATAAAGTCTCTCAGTATCATATCCTTATTTTCTCTTGTATTAATCACATTACTTCTTCTCTAGAGTGGCAACAGGGCCCAGTACAAGATCTCTTATATTGACCTCCATAGCAACCCAAGATAATTCATACATGTGTAGAAATCGGCATCAAGCTCATCCAAGTTGACCTGGACTTGACCAGCAGCATGAGCGCCATCTACTGCCACGAATATTTCACGTGAATGGAACAACGCTACAAGTTCTTGAATTGGCATTAACACTGCACTTGGGCTCGTTATGTGGTCTGAAACATATAAACACAAATAAAAATAGAAAATATAAAATTCTCTATACAATCTAATAAAGAAACTACTACCCGTGAATGAAAATATACGGCGATACAGGGTGCAAAATTAGCACTGGCCCACCGGCATACGCCAAAATATTATTTAGAGCAGGGGTTCTTAACCTGTGGTCAATGGACCACTTTGGGGCCCGTGGATGGGGCTCGGGGGGGGGGGCGTGAACCAGGCACATGCAAAATTTTGTGTTTATGTGCTTATGTGCATTTTTCTGGGGTGGGGTCTGTAGCTTTCATCAGATTCTCAAAGGAGTCCATGACTCAAAATGGTTAAGAACCACTGACTAGAGGGCCAGTAACATTGGCGAAATACCATGCAGCCTTCCGAACCGGTGGTTTCAGCCATCTTAGTGAGTACCAAATTTTTTATTTATAGCATAAATGAGCAAACAGCCTACATTACTCTTTTATTTGAAGGATATCACGCCATAATTTATCAACATTTTACAAATTTGAAATCGAGAATGCAAGCATTGAAACATGACATTGCCAAAAACATTCCGACATCATTCACGATCTGCATTATAGTCTGTTCAACAGTTACTATGTGATGCCGCACACTTCAACATTTTTCGGACAAGCAAGAGTCACTGAAACAGTCTTATATTTATTTTTCTGTGAGGGCTGGTAAAAAACTGTTGTTACCAGCCCTCTGGGCCAGTGCAAAAAATCTGAATTTCATGCCCTATTGATATATCAGACTTACCAATTACTGCCAATTTTATATTAGGATGTTCATCAAGGTAGGATGTGAATCTATCAATCAGATCTTGCTTGCTATGTATTGGAAATATTATGTCCATAAATAGAGATTTGAGACCTGCAAGGAAATCACATGAAATTAGAAAAAAGCAAATAGATTACATTGATTCTCATTACTTTACTAGGCACGATTTTCTATACCCATACCTGGTTTAATTCTTACTGTCTCCTGGATTGCGTACTGAACTGCACCGTAAGTGAGTGAAGTCCCCATGATGGCACTGCCTGGGCGCAGGTTTAAGGATTTAAGTACACTGTTCAAACCTACACGAATAAAGTAAACACCAATAGTAAAATAACAACCTTCATTATAAGGTTGATAGTATCTTTACCTTGAAGCTAGTTAATGAATAGGACCATCAAGCTTACATGGTTCAGCAGAATCCATACAGCGCTGTACTTGAGCGGCAGCGGTGTTTGTCCATTTGGATACAATATGGTTTCTAATTGTGTGTTGTCGCAACTCTCTCTCTATACTTTTATTTTATTTATTTAGACAATTATCCATCATATACAATACATAGCACAGTTACAATAAATTCTGAATTCATAAAAGCGAAAATACAGCTCTGGCAAGCTAGTCTGAATTAGCATTAGGAAGAAATGAATTGAGTTAAATTATGAAGAGAGTTTTGGACACATACATATTATACACTTTATTCATGCTAAATAACCACGATTTTAAGCTCCAGACACCGCTCTATTCAAATTATGCGAACTTCGGCACACGACAAGACTCTTACTCTTCATGCGGCATAGGACATCTACCTTGCGTGTATTGGAAAATTAGTGCACTCTTATGGCGAATATAACCGCAAAAAAATCAGAAGATGGGCTTTTCCTAAGACGAAATTGTGCAACGAACTGTTGTGCTCCTCTATTATCACGTGTGTGTGTGGGGGGGGGGCACAAGAAATTCCGAGAGATGGCAACGGTAAAAAAAACAAAGCAAAATTGTAATCGTGCATGTTTTGGTGAATACAAAGATTATAACTTCTAAGACATTTTATCGTTACTCTAGACAATTGCTGTTACTCAAGCAATAACGGTAGGTATCACGAAAGTGGGGATAAACGCTGAAAAATGCTCGTCATAATTACTTTAAGCACAAAAAGTTTACACTCACCAGTAGTTGTATTTGCTATGAAGACAAGGTTTTTAGTTTTTGTTCCCATGAAGTCAGCTAATGGTTCTAATGCCTGCTTATACAGAGGTAGGGATTTCCTCCACGTAAAGTGACATGGCCACTTGTTCATGTCATCCTGGATCCTGTAGCAAAAAACTCGTGTAAGTTTAGTGATGTAAAATAACAGTAGCTCAGCTAGTACTGTCATGACCAGGTGTGTATAACCATATAGTGATAAGATAGTGGGGGCGACTAATGATGGGTAATCCAACAAATTAAGCTATAAATCGTATAATATAATATACCAATAAATAGCAAGCTGCTCTACTAAGATAGGGGGTTGATGACAAAACTTGTATGTCCTGGACCAACATACTCCTACCACTACTGGCCAGGTAAAATCTTCACAATAGCCCTTCTACAATGATGGGGTTTAGATCAAGTTAGTATTAGTCAGCTTACTGCAGGATCAGGATACATACTATGTACAATATACATAAATTGTATACAGGGCTAAGCATGAATGTGCCATTCATGCTTAGTCCTCAGTACCAGTACTATGTACCTGTGCCTGTGGTAGTCACAATGTGGGATATACTAGTACTAGAGATATAGGGGATATAGCTCAGAAAGCAAGCTCAGTGATGCTCAGTAGTTGGAAATCATGCCATCCATGGATGTCCCCATTCTTATAGAAATGTTAGTGAATATTAATATATAACCTTCGCTGCTCCTGTATAACACAGAGTGGTGTTGCTCCAAATGATCCGTGATTGCAGTATGTAATGTCAGCATCTAATGGAAAATGCTTCTTCAGTTCTCTACCAAACTGCAGTGGCTTCGATGAGTAGAGTTCAGTGTCCAAGAGGTCCATTATGTTAATAACAGGACGTGGGGTTCTGAACGAACACATTTGGAAATTAGCAAAGAACAAATCACATGGAAAGATATGCGAATAAATCACGCATGCATGCACACAAACACACACCATCACATACAGTGTTTGCCACTGAGCAGAAAGAGCTGTAGGCCTGCAGGGCCTATATAGCTCCTAAAAGCTGCAGGCCCGCCAGCAAAGCTGTAGGCCCGCCAATTTTGGAGCAAATTACAGTAATAAAACAGCATATCATATTCTTCCTTGTGTATATTAGTCATTATCAATGTCCATAATCATAATCCCCAGGGTTCTCCAAGCTTTTTCATTATAGCATGGGGGTGCTGCTCAGTGCTAGGGGGGTCCAAGCAAATTTTTGAATTGTAGAAGCTCTGAGATGCAATCTGCGACACTGTGTGTAAATTTGAAGCACTGCATGTGGGGTGAAAATGTTTGTTTTGCATGGGCAAAGCCATCGGAAAATTGAAAATAATAATGGAATAAAAATACCAAAATGTAGGGGTGAACTTGCTGGTTTGCTGGTTCCAAATCGAGTTCACCTCTCATAAATCAGAAAACCTGACATATACCAGTGTTGGAAATAGCAGCTGGTCCCATAGTCCCTGACTGGTAACTTTTCAGCAGGGCTGGCTACTTTTGGAGCAGGACTGGCTAATTTTCAAGAAAATTACTGTTTTATTAGGGATTAAATATTGCGGATTTTGAATTTTTTTTAATCAGGACCGGATGGAATTTTTGTCTTATTTCCAACACTGCATATACATACCAACTATACTGGTACTGTAAATCTTCTTATATAATTTTACTCATTCGTATTATAAATGTAGTTTTACTATTGACAGCTTTACAATACTGTTCTGGATCTGACTTACCATTTGCCTTTGGCTATGTCCACTGTTTGTATTTTGTTATTGTGGGCTCTACCCCTAGTGTTATGTACAAAAAATACAAAGGCAGTAGTGGTCGGTAAGTGTACCAGTCTACTCTACCTCGTGTTAGACTGGGTTACCTGCCCCGTAATAATGCCATTGTAAATTAACGATTAAAATTTCTTGATGAGCTAGAAAACACTTGGATTTGAAGTATGAAAATTAACATTATTGTGCCAGCTAGCATACACCAGTTGGTTGGGATTGATTGTCAGTTCAGATGCAAAATATTGAAAATGAAAGCAAAAGGTTATACACCATAGATTAATTGGGTACACGCGTATATATATAAGGCCAAACAAAAAAATACCTTTGGTTCGGGTCACATGGATTGTGAAAATTAGGGTCGGTAGGTAGGTATAACATTTTTTTTTTTTTAATTTTTTTTCTGCAAAAACATGGGTAGGCAGGAATATAATTTTTTTTTTCACAAGTTAAATATAGGGTATACAGCTTGAAATGCAGGAGCCACGAGATGCAAATGACTTGCAGTTGCATGTACCATTGCTGCAAGTCATGACATTGTTTTCAAAATGTGAACAGCAGTCGTTTACTGGTGTCGTGTACTGGTATTCGTGTCGTGTACTGGATAGTAGTGTTAGGAATCGCTCCAAAAACGGAGCTCGATTAATCGTCCCTTTGAACAAGCGAGTAACCGAAGTGTAAACGGCTCTGCGGCCGCGTATAGCACGATAGCATGCGTATACTATATAGTACGCGATCGATCGCATACATCAAAGCCGGCCGCTGCGCCATACGACCTTCAGGCTCTGTTTATGAAGTAGCCGGCCCAGGCTCTATACGACTGTTTCACGTTGTAGGATTCTAGGAAACGTAGGTAGGAACTGTTTCACTTCGCGCCAACGAAGTTCTGTTTATAAATATTTTGGAACTCTCCTTAGGTAAATAAAATGACAAGAGCCGGATATTTGAATATGTATGATCGGCAGGCGGTATCTTTGAAATTTATTTTTTCTTGAAACCCTCTAAAAGTGACCGCAGTCGCACATTTTATCACTCCGAAATGTGAAGTCGGGCGGGTGACCCGAACCAAAGGTAATTTTTAGGTCGGCCTAAGATAGCCGAGCCAGTTTAGAGTTAGTGGTAGGGTTAGGGTTGGGGGATTTCTACAGGTAACAGTTTCTTAGTGTTTCGAATTTTCGGTGATCACATAGCTGAAGGATCAGCGGGCCTGTTTTATCAAGAAGCTGTAGGCCCGGCATCGAAACTGTCGGCGGCGGGCTGACGGGCCGACGTGAATTTCGAACACTGATCACATAGCCATAGGTTACCTTCTCCCTTCTCACGAGACACTACGTGGTGAGAAGTATTGGCCCACGACATAAAGCTGTTGTAAAGCCTGGTCGGGCTAACCATCAATGAATGGAAATGTGGAGTTAGGCCCTTTAAAATCGACAGGGGTGTTCTTCAGGGTGCTGTTTATTAATTTTTACCAAGAACTATGTCCTTCCTTCGCAGAAAGGCGGACCAACATGCTGTTTAACCGACGCTACTTGCCTGTTTCCGCCCCTGCAACGCCATTGCTATTAAACGCCAAGGTCAGGGGCGATCACGTCATATCACTTATAATTATATTCACTCGGTTCATTGGTATAAGCGCTGACTACAATTCATTTTCGCAATGTGCGACATGTGCAAATGTGGACAGCTCTTATCCTTGAGCCCTCACTGACTGTGTGGAAGTGGCATAGCCGGTTCAAGGATAGAGAGAATTTTCGTCAATGTGGGGGTAGCCCCTTTAAAATCGAGAGTTGTGTTGTTGAGGGTGTTGTTTCTCCATTTCGACCGAGAAACATTATGTGAGTTCACAGGAAGCTCACTGCCCTCAAATGTATGTGCGTATTTGCGCGCGCCATTTATGGACTGATACTACTTGCTCCCCGCAGTAAATTACCTGGAAATCCGTTGATATTCGTTGTTTTTTTTGGAAAATCATAAATCAACGAGGACAAAGTCCTCCATTGTTGTTGACTGTACCCTACTGCCCTCTCGCGGCAATCTAATGTATATGCATTCGCCCCCCCCCCTCTTTCAGCTGCCGTTGGCTGCGCACATTCTGGCGCGCGTTGCCGTTACATCTGACGGCGGCTGTTTACGGCCGCCGGCTGTTACGGCTGTTAACGGCGTTGCCGTTACATCAGAGGTCATACAACGATATGATAAAACGCACGTGAACGCACATTCTTCCCACAGGCACTTGGAGCGTTTCAATCAAATATAATGCTTAATAAATAGGAAATCTATTTACTACCAAAGTCTTAATGTTTCTATACTCTCTTTCACCTATTATTGCCGACAGTTTCCTGTAAATGCTGTCCAAATGCTCATCTGTAAACATACGCCGCCGCCATTGCTGCTGCTGCCGCTGCACACACACACATATATATATACTACTCTCTCCCGCCCCTCCCCTACCCTCTCCCGATCCTCTCTCCAACACCCGCACTGACGTACACACATGGCGCGTGAGGAAAAAAGAATCTCTGCCACGGTTGCAATAATAACCTTGCACGGTTTTCATGGAATCGAAAATATTTCCGCAAAGATCTGCATTTTTGTTTGTTGGAATGCGGGCGGCAGCAGCGCACCGCCAAAGAGAGAGAAAGGGAGAGGGGGAGGGAGAGAATGAGAGAGAGAGAGGGAGAGAGCGAGCGAGATAGAGAGAGGGAGAGGGGGAGGGAGAGAATGAGAGAGAGAGAGGGAGAGAGCGAGCGAGAGAGGGAGAGAGCGAGCGAGATAGAGAGAGGGAGAGGGGGAGGGAGAGAATGAGAGAGAGAGAGGGAGAGAGCGAGCGAGAGAGGGAGAGAGCGAGCGAGATAGAGA